CTGGGTGGCTTACAAACTGCAGACATTTACTTCTTATAGATATGAAGGCTTGATGTCCAAGGTCAAGGCACTGGCAGGATCAGTGTCTGGAGAGGGTTTCCTGGTTCATCGAAATGGTGCCTTCTCTCTGTGTCTGTGTTTGACAGGAGGAGTGAGAGGGCTCTGGGGGATACTTTTATGAAGGCACTAATTCCATTCACGAGAGGTTCACTGTCATGACCTAACCTTTCAAAGCCCCACCTCCTAATACCAGCACATTGGCAAATTAGGTTTCAACATATGGATTTAGGGGTGGAAGGGCACAAACATTCAGACTGCAGCAGATCATGTGGTAAGGTTTATGTGAGTGACCCTTATCTCACACTCCCTACTCTGAGATATTGCAGGGGGTAGGGAAGTGAGACAGGGAGAAGGAAGAGGCCAGTACAGGGTCTACCGGAGAGTGGGTTATTGCAGTGGACAAGTGGGACTGAACTCCACCTGGGACTTCTGGGAGACGACCCAGAGCACACTTGGAACTGTCTACCTGGCTAGGTGCAGTGGCTTACTATAAAGTGTAATCCCAACACTTTGGGAGACTGAGGCAGGAGGATTGAGGCCAGGAGTTTGAAACTAGCCTGAACAACAAAGTGAGATCTTGTCTCTACAAAAAATAAAGTTAACTAGGCATGTTGGCACATGCTTATAATCCCAGCTACTTGGGTGACTGAGGTGGGAGGATCACTTGAGCCCAGGAATTCAAGGCTGCACTGAGTTGTGATTGTGCCACTGCCCTCCAGCCTGAGCAACAGAGTGAGACTACAACTCAAAACATAAAACAAAAAAGCTGTCTACCTGAGGAATAGGTGAGAGAGCAAGGGTTTTATTCCACCAGCTGTTTATTTTTTGCTTGAGGGCTGCTCCCAGGAGTGTTCACTTTCTGGCCCTCTAGGCCTGCTCTGGATGCTGGGTAGGCTTGCTCCTAAGGTTAGAGAAAACTCCAGAAGTTAAAGCAAGTGTTCAAGGAACGTGGGTATGCCACCCACAACCTCTGCTATTTTCTCACTTCTAACTCTGGTTATACTTGGACATTTAAGAGCTAAGTTTGTGGTTATTTATATAGCAACTGGGAAGTTAACTAAGTTTAGCCTGCCCTAGCCAATTCTAGAAAATCTAAGTAAATTCTCTGCACACATGCATAAGGAGTTTCGCCTGTTGAACTTTCTCCAGCAAATTCCAACTTCTTGGCATGTTTGCCTTCTTTGTTGGCTTTCCTTCTGATCCCAGGTAGAACTCCTGTATATTTTTCTACATCTTAAGGAACAAGTGACTAGTGAGTTCCTATTAGTTGTAGACACAATGGGGACCAACAAAAAGACACTAAGAAAAAGGGCTTTCCCCTCAAGGAATTTGCAAGCAAGCTCATGAAATCAAAGATAGGTGACTTGGAGAAATTAGAAGGCAATGAAAGACATCAGACAAAAGTCAGGGCATGAGCTGTCAGAGGAGAGAGGCATGAATTAGGGTTGCAGTTGGGAGAACATGGGACTCAACCTGAGTCTCAGAGGCAACCCCCTGTGCATGGTTTATAATTTACGTTCAGCTGACTGGCAGAAAGGATTAGAGGTGGCTTATATTTGCATCAAAAAAAATTTTTTTAAACCTCACAAAATATATATTTTTAAAATGAGTAAGCTTTGTCTAGGCAGGGCCAGGCATGAAAAGAAAGTGTCAGCTGTCCTCAAGAACATTTGTAAGGGAATCTTCCTGAAGAATATTTTAGTTCAAATTTCTTGAGAATCAGCCAATTTCCTTGGCCAGAGGTGTTTGTTCCTTGGGATGTGATGAAGCTTATGTCCATGATCACCAGCAACTGAACTCAGTTTCCTCAGTTTTCTCACCCTGCTCCTTAAAATTACCCTTGGAACTGACACTAGCATTGATTTGCTCTTTCTCCATGAGCTGGCACCATGGTGAGATTGTACACTGGTTTACCCCCCACAAGTGCCCATGAGAATGGTTGCTCATACCCTTTTCTAGAGGAGGGTGCAGAGAGGCTCGGAGAGGAGAAGGAAACTACCCAGTGTAGCATGATTGTACCCCAAACCCTGCACTCATTCAGTCATTCTTCTCAGTGAAGTACAGGCAGAGTTTGTCAGGAAGGCAGAATTTGTTTGCTTTCTAAAGGCTATAACATAGGAGGAGGGATGTTCATATGCAAAACATGTCCAGTCTCCACCCACCTGTGACATGTGCGTAATGATTATCCCTGTTTTGTAGTTATTTTGTAAAACCTTATTATGCACGTTTGGGTCTGCTGAAACTGGGGCATGTTGTCAAGGAAGTATATGCCAGAGAAGAACGTTTTTCATTGTGGGGGCAATAGAACTTCTGCATGTCTTCCTTCTTGTCTTTTAGACTAAATCATCTAAAATACTTTACCCTCTCAGATTTTGTGTATCAGTAGGTACTCAATACAGATTTGTTTTAGACATGAATAAGCAAGCTTACATTTGCCTAAAATGTGCATTGCCCCCCATTGGCTTTCACACCGTGAAAATCTCTCTACCCTTGACTTTTTTTTTTTGAGTTGGAGTCTCACTGTCGCCCAGGCTGGAGTGCAGTCGCCGCTCCCGGCCACTGCAGCCTCGACTTGCTGGGCTCCGGCGATCCTTCCGCCTCAGCCTTCCGAGTAGCTGGAATTACAGGCATGCGCTACCATGCCCGGCTGATTTTTTGATTTATTGTAGAGATGAGGTCTCGCTGCCCAGGCGGGTCTCGAACCCGCGGGCTCAGGCAATCCACTCACCTCAGCTCCCAAGGCGTGGGATTATAGGCTGAGCCACCGAGCCCGGCTATCCTGGACTTCCATTTATTTATTTAAAATATGTATGTGTTTGTTTTAAAGTAGTAGTATACAAATGAGGATTTGCTATGTGAGTAGGCTGCATGCAGGTGAACTGTCACAGAAACAAAGAACTGAATATCACATGTTCTCACTTGTAAGTGGGACCTGAGCACCAGTCACATTAGCACAAGGGTGGGATTGGTAGTTACTGGGCACTACTAGGGAAGGGTGGGAGGAAGAGAGGAGGGAGGGGGGCATGTGACAACACAGTAGGCACCTGTCTACTGCCAGGGAGAGTGAGGGCCAGCTACAAGTGATTTATTTATTCAACAACGGTTTGTCGAGCACTTACTGTGCCCCCGGGGTGCTGTCCTATGTTCTCAGCATAACGAGATGAATCGCAGGTGGCTCCACTTTCAGATCTCATGAAGAGTGGACAACCTGTGCCGGGGACATTATTTGGAGATGACAGTTAGACTCCAGTGTGACAATGATGTGCCAGGAACTGGTGTACAGAGGCCTCAGGGACACTATGTAAGGTTAGAGAAAGAGGTACCCATGGCAGAGATGAGAAGTAAGGACTGTGGTGGGAAACCAGGAAAGTGTATTTCTGAAGTTTCATGAAAGGATTAGTCAGCCATGGCCAGTGCTTCCTGCAGACCAGATGGGTCAGAGGAAAACCTGGAGGCGACCATGTGTCTAGAGTACCTAGGGCACTGGTGAACCTGGCTGGCTGAGGATGGCTGAGGCAGCCCCATCTCAACAGGTTGGAGAGAGAAAAGGAGTGAGGAATCAAGGTGGCAGGTGGCCCATTACTGGCTGCTTGGCCATGAAGGGGGAAAGGGCAGTAGCTAGAGCGAGTGTGTTTTTGGTTTTGCTGCTTTTAAGTAGTTGAGAAGAAACTAGCCCATTCAAATCCTGAAGGTGCAATTGGCCTTCCAAGTTCTCTAATGACTTGGATCACAGAAAGCTTTTAAGAACAGGTGCTGGTGAACAAGGTGTTCTTCCCTACTGGGTCCTCCACTCTGCAGGGACCAGGATCACCGTCTCCATGGCCTTTGCCACTCATGCTCCTTGTCCCATGCTCAGCACAGCAAGGATCCTCTGTTGTTGGTGGCAGGGCTGGGGTAGTTAAAAGCCAATGATTGTCAGAAGAGGAGCTCGTTTCTGACGGAAGCAGGTTTTTGTTACTCTTTACTGTGTTCTGGGAAAATGGAATGTGAGTTGTATGGGGAAGGAGGCTGGGAACAGAGTTGGGACTTAAGGATCTCTCTGGGTCTTTCCACCTCTCTAAGGCATGTCTCTCATCCTTGCTCATATAGTAGGGGTCATATATTTCTTATGTACTTCTGAGTCATTTCAGGTTGTGCTTTGAGAGTATAAAATATTCCGTGAATTTGACACTGTGTGTGCATTTTCATTGTCCCGTTAGGTGGCTGAACCACGTGGCTAGACTGTCCTGTGTGTGTACGCACATGCATGCATGCACATGGAGTTGAACCCAAAGAGGCAGGAGGTGATTTTGGAAATTCTTTGAATGAAGGAGGCAGCAGATTATGTGGCATGGGGTGAGGTGTGCCGGAAGAAACTTGTACCTTGCATCCTGTGAAATTTATGGGACAAGTGGCATTATTATTATTTTTTTCCTTTGTGATTGAGGTTACTTGCTGAAGCGGGAATAAGAATGTTAGTGAGAATTCAGCATGAGCAATGTCTGTTCCTGGCATCACCATGCAGAAAAGGGTGTTGGCTTCTTCTTGTTGCTCAGACACATTACTTGAAATACAACCCAGGGCACTGACTGTTCCCTGGATACCCATCCCCTGCCTGTCTTTGTGGCTTCCTTGTTCATTGGGGGCGATTTCTTTCCTCAGATGGTATATTCTCAGAACAGCCGATGTAGTGACTGGCTTTGTTGAGCTGTGACACTGAACTGAAATTTTTTTGAAAGCTGGCTTCTGCTGAAATCACTGGGAAAGACTGGGTTATACTGAATTGCCTAGGCAAGGGGAAGAAGTCATCTGAGTAAAATAATGCAATCAACATTTTGGTCTGACTTTCTGTGTGTGTTGCTGCCTTTGCAAAATAGCGTTGCGGTCGGGGTATGTATTAAGAGTTCTGGTCATGAGCTGATGCAGAGGCTGGGGTGGAATTCCAGACCGAGGGAGGAAGGATGAGATGTCTGTGGAAAAAGTTCCCCAGTCACTGGGGCTATTGTGTGGAGGATAATAGTCTTGTTACTGCTTTGGCCTCGCCTACTCATGAGTGGTCAGCGTGGACGGGCAATGCCAGCCTGGCCTGCCATGCATGGAACGAGCCTGGGCCACCAGAGCACACGGGCATTTTCACCCACACCCTGCTGGACTGTTGGGTATGGGGTTGCCAGCAAAAACCAGGAAATGCTTGTGAAAGTGACATGCTTCCAAGATGGACAGTGGACTGGAGAGGAAAGCTGTTCTTGTCCAGGAATCTATAACTTTTATTATCCATAATTTTAACTTTCTTTTTTTTTTTTTTTGAGTCAAGGTCTCATTCTGTCACTCAGGCCGGAGTGTAGTGGCATGATCACAGCTCACCACAGTCTTGAACTCCTGGGCTCAAGCCGTCTTTCCACCTCAGCCTCCCTAGTAGCTGGAACTATAGGCTGGAGTGTAGTGGCATGATCACAGCTCACCACAGTCTTAAACTCCTGGGCTCAAGCTGTCTTTCCACCTCAGCTTCCCTAATAGTTGGGGCTATAGGCACACACCACCACACCTGGCTAATTTTTAATTTTTTTTTGTAGAGATGAGGTCTTGCTATTTTGCCCAGGTGGGGATCTTGAAATGCTGGGTTTAAGCAATCCCCTGCCTCAGCCTCTCAAAGTGCTGGGATTACAGGCATAAGCCACCACATCCAGCCCTATTCATCACTTTTAATGACTAAGAAAATATATTTTTCACTGTTGTGAAATTAGTTCTTTTTTTGGTGGGGGCAGTGATTTATGTCTCTTGCCTAAGGGCTGTACTGTACTCTTTTAAGGGCCTAAAATTCCTCGATTTGCCTCATAAAGGAGTTCTCTTGTGTTTTTTTTTTTTTCTCTCTCTCTCTCCTTTACCTCTCTACCCCTTTTGTGGCACATTTATCAGCTTCTGTCAAGTGAAAAAAAGCTGTTTTTCTTCTCCTCCCACACCACAGCAACCAACACTGCAGATTTCTTGGACCAAATGGGTGGGGGTTTCTCCCTACCAATAAACAAGCTGTCTATTCTGCAGCAGACACCTTCTGGTTGTTCAATTTAGTTCGGTCCTGACACTCTTCCTGGAGATGGTGTTAATTCTCCAGGCTGAGGGCTCCGTCCCACAAGACTGTCCCTGACTTCGATGCCATTATCAAGCCCCAGTTTGTTTTACTCGTGCTTCTGATGCACCGGTTACAAATCAAGATTCCTATGATCCCATCTTTGGGTTTGATTAATTTGCTAGCTTGACTCACAGAACTTGGAGAAGCGTGTTTACTGGTTTATTATAAGTGATGTTACAAAGGACACAGATGAAAAAAATGCATGGGGTGAGGTATGGGGGAGGGGTGTGGGTTTCCATGGACACCATTTGGGAACCTCTATGTTTAGCTATCTGGAAGTTCCCCAAGCCCCATCCTTCTGGGTTCCTATGGAAGCTTTGTTTTCTAGGCATGATTGATTATATCACTGACCATTGGTAATCAATGTAACCTACTCAAGGCTGGGGGTGGGGCTGAACGTCCCAACCCTCTAATCCTGCCTTGGCCTTTCTGGTGACCAGCCCCCATCCTGAAGCTGCTCAGAGGCTGACAGCCATCAATCAACTCAGAGCATGCAAAAGACATCACTTTGGAGATTTCAAAGATTTTAGGAGTTATATGCCAGGAAATGGGGTAAAAATCAAACATATATTTCACAGCGTCATATGCCCTTTTGCACATTTATGAAACATTCAGATCCATTCCAATCCAAATTGTGGAGCTGTTGAGCATCTAATATTTGGATGGAGAACCAGAATATATATATTTATAAAATAATAGTATAATTTAAAATTATTTTAAAAATAATAATACTTATATATTTATAAAATTACATTCTGCATGAAATCAGTTCGGAAATCTCTGAAGGGGAACAAGATTTCACACATTGTCTAGGGACTATGTGTTAGTAAATGGAAATTAAGGGTGGACAATTCATTTACTAAAACTAAGATGTATAAAGGGGGATTTGTGGTCTCTATTTAGTATGTCAGTGCCATTGTTTTTGATTCACTTCAAACCTTAGTCGCCAGATCTGTTTCTCCGCCATTCCTACAAAGTTTTGTGCCATTCCTACAAAGTGTTGGGGAGGGAATTCTCTAAACTCGCCAAGCAGATTTTGGTTTGAGGAAACAGGGGCGTCCCAGGTTGTTGTTCCTGGCAAGTGCTCCAGGACCATTTGTTCATTCTTCTCCACTCCTTCCACAGCCTCCTGTGGGGGAAAGGCCATCTTGCCTAGTATGAGGGAAGCAAGAACCTGGCTTGGTTTTTGCCAACAGCCAAAAACTGCCTCTGCAGAACCGACACACAGCAGATTTATGTGCATAGACTGCATTTCTCTTGCTTGTTTGTTTGTTTTCCCTGAATCTATTATCTTTGTACCAAGGGCAGAGTTAGTATCTTTGATTTTTACCTTTGAGAATTGTTTAGTTGTTCATTTTTACCTTTGAGAATTGTTTAGTTGTTCATTCAACAAATATTTGAGTGTCTACTGTGTGCCTGATCCTGTTCTAGGCATTGGGGACAGAGCAGCGAACAAAATAGTAGAACTATTTTGCCATAAAGAACTTTCACGCCAGAAGGGTGGAGGGACAGGGAGAACCATCAGAGTTGAGTGAATGGTATGATAGCCCACGGTTGAGGAAGCAGTTTAGTGGGTTACAAGAATGCATCTGGAGTCAGACTTCATAGGTTTGAGCCTCAGCTCTGGTACTTACCCTCAAATAACAGGGCAGGTCAGCCTGTTTGTACCTCAGTTTCCCTGTCTGTGAAATGGGGGCGATGATTGTGCTGTCCTCAGCTGTTTTGAGGTTTAAACAAGTTAATGTATATGAGAGGGGGTCCCCTAAAATGGAATTTATTTATAAAACTTGTATTTATTCTTACGTGTTTAAACTTCAGTCACCTTCAAAGTACTCCCCATTTGATGCAATACACCTATCGAGATGCATTTTCCACTGCTCAGAACAGTTTTTGAACTCATCAATTTGGATGCCTTTTATGCTTCTGCTGTTTTTTTGTATCACCTCATCTACATCAGCAAAACGTTTCCCTTTGAGGTTTTTCATCTGGGGAAACAAAAATCTCTCAGAATGAGATTGGGTGAATAGGGAGGGTGGGGCATGGGAATCATTGATGTTTTTGATCAAAAACTACAGAATATACAGCGTTATATGGGGAGGTGTGCTCGTAAATTGCCCATCATGAAATGGGCGAATTCCTTGAAAGACTCTCAAAAAAAAAAAAAAATTTACCAAAGCTGTTGCAGCCTCTCACAACAATGCTAGCTGGTACACTGAAGCCGATGGGTTCCTAGAACACTTACAGGAGAAACCTGTACTACAAGGGGCCCACCCACCAAAAGATAATTCTATTTTGGGAGGGGTTCTCCCTTGTATATGAAGTACTTACAAGAATGCCTGGCACATCATAGGTGCTGTTAAATGTCTGCCTGAGGGTCAGAGAAAGGGATGTCAGAGAAAGGGATAGACAGGGGACTTGGAATGGTAGTTTTCAAAAAGGGGTGGTCAGGTCAGCTTCATGGAAAAGGTGGCATCGAAGGAGGCCGGAAGGAACTGCTAGGATATTATGCCACGTGGGTCCAGGGTATTCTGGGAAGAATTGCCCCATCTCAGCAAAGGCGACCAGGGAAAGACCCTGCGTCCCAGGCATGTCTGGGGCACAGACCAGTGACTAGGAGACATTGCAAGGACTTTGGTGGTTACTCTGAGACATGAGAGCCATGAGAGGTGAAGGATCAGCTTATACTGTAAAGGGATTGTGGTGACCACTAGTTGGGAGTAGTCTGAGAAAGGAAGCAGGGACAGGGACACCAGTAGGGAAAGTTGGTGACATGTAGTTGTGTAGACCCAGTGGCCTCAGTGGAGGAGGTAAGGGCGTGGCAGGGGCCAACCAGAACCTGTAGGTATATCCCACAGGCCTTCCTGGTGGACTGGATTTGGGGTATGAGGGAAAGGACGCCTTAGATGTAACTCCCTACGTGACCTGACCCAACCTGATGGAACTGCCATCCTCAGGTAGCCAGGTCCATGGAGAGAGCAGGTGTGGGGAGTTGGAGGCTCAGTTCTGGACATGCCAGAATTGAAATGGTATGTTTGTTTCCTCACAGTTTTAGAGTCTGGTACTCTAGAAGTCCTGAATCAAGGTGTTGGAAGACACATCCTCAGAAACTCTGGGTGGAGCTTGCCTCTTCTGACTCCTTTTGTCATCAGTCCTTGTGTTCTCATGGCTACATCACTCTAATCCCTGCCTCTTTTGTCCCTTGGCATCTTCCTGTGTTTTCATCTTCACATGCATTTTCCTCTTCTTGTAAGGCCACCAGTCATGGGGGCGGGGACGGGGGGGAACCTTATGGGCCATCTTAACTTAATTACCTCCATAAAGACCCTATTTCCATAAAAGAACACATCCACAGATACAGGGATTAGGACTTCAGTCTGTTTTTTTGAAAACATATTTCAACCCGTAAAAGAAAAGATGGCTATTAGACACTCAAGTGGAGGTGTTGAGTAGGCAAAGCCTGGGGTTCAGGGACAGGTCTGAACTGAGGTTGTAAGCTTGAATCGTCATCAGCATGTGGAAGGTGTTTAAAGCCTCAGGATTCGGTGGAGTCAGCAAGGACGTGGACCCAGAAGTGATTCCTGAACTGAGCCCTAGGGATCTCTAACAGACAGAGGAGATGAGAAGGAGGGAATGAGACTGAGTCAGATTTTGCTGATGGGTCAGGGAAAAGGACTAACAGAAAACACTGGACGTAGCAAAACTGAGATTGTTGACAAAAGTAACAGCATAATTATTGATAAGATAATCCTAGGTTTAAAACTTGCCTATTTTGGTTTGTCTCTAGCTTTTTAAACTTGATTTTCAACTCTTGAGCTATATTTACATATTCTTTGTTTATTTCTAAAATATATGTTCATTCTGTAAACAGTTGGCTATGTGTCTGGACTTGGGCTAGACGCTGGGCATCGAAAGATGAGTAACATACACACCTACCCTTGGATATCATCATTGTTTACTGGGGAAAGATGGGTGGAACAATGAAACACAGGGTGACGGTCTAGGAGCATCGGTCACTGGGGAACTGCAAATTGAAACCACAGTGAGATACCATTCCACACCTACTAGAATGGCTCAAATAAGACCAACACCACCAAATGTGGGGAGGATTCGGAGCAAATGAGCCCAATGGACCATCGACACATTGCTCAGGGGAGGTAACTTGGTACATCTATGTTGGAGAACTGTTCAGCAGTTTAGAAAAATTAAAAATATATCTAACCTATTCCCCAACAAGTTTCACTGCTGGGAATTCATCCAAGAGAAATAGAAATAACCATTCACAAAAAGACTTCTATAAGAATATTCATAACTGCCCTATTCATAATAGTTTAAAACAAAACAATGCAAATGTCCATCAGGAGAAGTAGAGACAAACGTGTGGTGTGTCCCTGAAAAGGAATGTTACTTAACTGTAAAAAGAAAAAAACGAAATGACTGATACACACAGCAACATGAGAGAATCCCCAAAACAAGTTGAACATAAGAAGCCATGCTAAAAACAGACACACAGAAAACCACGTTGCTACATTTCTAGGATGGTCAAGAGTCAGTGAAACCAATCCATGGTAATAAAAGTCAGAAAGTGGTTGCTTCTGAAGATCAGGAGGGAAAGGGACATAAAGAAACTTTTGGGGAATAATAGAAATTTCCACATCTTGGTTTGGGTGCATACCATACTCAAGCTCGCCAGTCAATCATTTAAGATCTTGCATTGTTATTGCACACAAATTATATATCTCAAGAAAACTTGCAATCCTTGTGACAGGTGGTCTAGGTGCTGTTCAGAGAGGTGAGGGGGTACTGATGGCCAGGATGGGGCTGAGAGGTGTTTTGGGGTGGGGAGGCCATGTTGGATTGGGTTTTTCAGTGGAATTTGGAAAGGCTATAGAAGAGGGTAAGCCTTAGCCAGGGGCTAATACTGGCCACAAGCCCAGTAATGAGAAAGGGCCCAACCTGGTTAGAAAGCACCAATGACTTAAAAATGAAATCCCAGTTATTTATCAAAATTTATTTTCTTTTAAGGCTCAATATGTATCTGAGCTTGGACTGTTTCCCCCTCCCTGATGCAAGCTTCTTCATAGACTATGTTCAGATTTCAATTTTATAGCAACCTTTCCCCTCACTAATTAGTATATTTTTCCCAACTGATAAATTATTCTTGGTACTTAGTTAAAAAAAAATAAATTACTCAAGAGTATTGCCTTATTCGATTAACCTGATGCTTTCTTTTTTTTCTTCTTTAAAAAATAAGTTACAGATTCTCGTTGACACTGGAAGCAGTAACTTCGCCGTGGCAGGGGCTCCACATTCCTACATAGACTCGTATTTTGACACAGAGAGGTAAGTGATGAATTCATGGCTGGCAGGCTGGGCCTGGGGGTGCTGCAGGGATTTGCATGCTTCTGGGTTCACTGGAATGCAGCAGCCAGAAGGCAGTTTCATTTAAGGGGGATATGTATATGAGGGGGGACTCTCCTAAAACAGAATTTACTTATAAGACATTGTGTATTCTTACCTGTTTAAACTCTAGTCACCTTCAAAATACTCTTCATTTGATGCAGTACACCTATTGAGATGCTTTTTCCACTGCTCAGAACAGTTTTTGAACTCATCAATTTGAAAGCCTTTTAGTGCTTCTGCCATTTTTGGTTTCACCTCTTCCACATTGACAAAATGTTTCGCTTTGAGAACTTCTTTCATCCTGAGAAACAAAGAGAAGTTGCTCAGGGCAAGATCTGGTGAATAGGTAGGGTGCGGCAAGGGGGTCATGCCATTTTTGGTCAGAAACTGCTGAGTGCTCAGCGTGGTGTGGGCAGGTATGCTTGTAAATCACCCATCATGATGTGGGCAAACAAGTTGAAAGAATCTTCAAAAAAAGTTCACCCAAACTGAATGCAACTGCTCATAACAATGCTGGCTGGTACACTGACGTCAATGGGTTCCTAGAACATTTACCTAGCAGGGGAAGCCTATACTACCGGAGCTCGCCCTCCAAAAAATAATTCCAGTGTTTTCTTGAGTCCCCCCAGGAAATGTATATATTTGCATATATATGTACAAATATGTGCATGTGTTTATGTGTACATTCATTCCAGGGAAATCCATAGCAGGATTTTTTCCTAGTAGCCTTGGTGCACTCACATGACACATAACGCTTTGTAAAAATTCAAGTCAAACACAACTTTTGCGGTTATGCCTGAGTAGCAGGGATATCGTGCCTCTTCACTGTATATTGCAGCACCTCTAGTCCTGCAGTGGAGGTGGCCTTGGGCAGGAGGGGTGTCCTGTGAGACTGTGAGGCTGCTCTGGGCAGGGGCCCGGGGCTGCTTCCTCTCAGCTGAAGTGATGCATGGAAAACCACCTTTGTGTAACTCCATAGTTCAGTGGGGTTAAGGTGTGGTTCATAGAAACCCTTTCTGTGGGGAGGTGGTTTTGGATGAGAGAAATCTGTCACTCATTTGGGATAGAGTGAGTATTGTAAGCACAAAGCACGGAAGCTCCATGTCAGCAATTATGCGGTGGACTTGTGAGAAAAGAGTGGAGACAGATGGAAGTGTCTGAAACAGAGTGGTGTCTGCCCAGTGCAGGAGGTCCTAGGGCGCTGGGCTTTGGAGGAGCCCTGGATGGGGTTACAGGGAGGGAGGGTCCCCAGCAGCCCATGTCAGCCTTCAGCTTGGGAGGAGCCCATAGTGTCTACAGTCCCCACCTTCTAGGAGCCCGAAGCTGCTCTAATGTGGTGCATGTTTTGATTTCACATCTATTTTTGTAATCCTAAAATTTCAACTCACCAGACAAAACAGGTAAGCAAACATATAGTGATTTGCTTTTTAGGGTCACAAATTGTCTGCAGACTCAGAAGGACCACATCAGGTTTCCCTGCTGTAAATTCTTTTCATGTCTTCCCTTCCTCATTTTCCTTATCTGCAGTGTTTTGTTCCAGGGAATAAAGGCCACTTTACCTGGGGGGGAAGACAAGGGGGACATAATGGCTGGAGGCTTCTGAAGATGACAGGCAATTTAATGAAGCAAGATGACTTGCTGTGCAACAGCATGGAGGAAACCCTTCCCATCTATCCTGCCAGTACTGCTACGTGGGCTCCACTTTGGGAGCATAAATGACGTTGTCTCCTGCATGTACAGCTATAAGCTGCTCACCGGGGAGAGGTATGGAGGCCAGTGCTATATGGGGCCTCATGGGACTACAGAGAAACATGGCTGGCCCCTCTCTCAAGGATCTGATAGCTTAGTTTGTGACTTTGTGTGCTGATAAACTTTCATCACTGATATTCCAGGATACAGCACTTGGCCAGCGATCACCTTATGACCAAGAAGATTAACATGTCCTCAGCTCTTGTTGTTATATCCACAAACATGTGCAGAAGTGGAGATGGTGTCTCCATGTGTGAGCAGGAGGACTTGGTGTGTCATGATTTATGCTGCCTTTTCCCATTCAGATTGGTGTCTCATCTAAATCCTCTGGCTTCAAACAGCTCCACCTCCAACTGCTTACTCCGGACTGTTTCATCATGGAACAGAACTTGGAGTTGATCCAAACCTCTCACCACAGAACATCAGGAAGGCAGAAGCCTTGTCCAAGTCCAGGCTTTGAGACTAGCAGTTCCCAAACCTTCAGCTGATACCCACTTTTTATAATGAGTGCTTTGTGATGCCCTGAAATGAATGCAGAGTTCATATAACTTACCCACATCCATAATTTCAAATGCCCTTATGTAATATGGGAGGGGTGGGGAAAAAAGGAAGGTAATATATAGCCTGGTAATCGGTACCTCAGTATGTCAACACTCAGGTTCGGTGATCCTTGGAAACTGTGAAATAGGGGATGTTAGAGACTGAGTGAGCATCACTGTGGACGTGTAGCAGCCAGTGTCAACTGACCAAGGCGAATTGAGTTGGACTCAGACACCAAGAGCAGCTTGAATTGCTGATGTGATTTTCCAAAATGGTGAAAAATCTTGATAAGGCCACCCCACCAAAAAAAGTATTTACCCTTGATTCACACCGTAGCTAATATCCAGTGTCTACTAAATCTGTGTAGAAAATGTTTTGTGCATATATGAAAGGGAGGAACACTCTGTGCTCAGATGATCATCAGCAGGTTTTCACCCATGTGGATACCCAGAGCAACTTTGGAAATGTGTGGGATGGAGGGGCAAGTCTTCATTTTGCATGACTGTCCTGCACCCTCTAGGCTAGCATGGTGCTGGCCATCAGCAACCACAAATATCCCCAGAGTTTCCAAAACTGATAGTGCCTTCTCCATTGAGACCAGTCTCTTGAGGGCAAAGCATTCCAAACCCTGTGTTGTTGCCATGACAGTAGTCTAGTCTGCACTGCACATTTGCCCAGTTTCCCCACACCTGCCAGTAGGCTCAGACCTGCATACTTGAAGCTTTCATTACACATTTGGCACGTTTCTTCCCCTAGAGAGATTTCGTTTCCCATCACACATCTGTAGATGCAAGGTACAACAGAAAGAAACAGTAGAGCCAAAGTTAGGGTGATGCAAATAGTTACTTTCCACTTAAATTGAAATTGTGCAAGTTGAACACTGTGAATGTTAACTTCCTTTCTGGTAGGTAAATGACAGCTCTTTAGTCAGGGTCTATAATGGTGAAAGTAAGTACGCCTCTTAATCCACGCAGCCTTTGCCATGCAGATACAATTGTTGAGACATACAGGGGAAGATAATAGTCCATATTATCAATACTGTGTATGATATTTAATCAACCGTAGGTGACCTGGCATCTTTCTCATTTACCTTCGACTGTGTTCACTGTCTGGTTGGGCTGCGGTTCTCTCTCAGACTCCCATGGGACACACCTTTCTGATTTACTTGCTGACCTTGTTTGGCTTATCCAAGTGGATTTTGTGCCCATTGTCAGGTTTGCTTTCAAGTGACAGATGCTTCCTTTGTTCCATCTTTAAAGAGTGGGTTCGAGACCCGCCTGGGCAGCGAGACCTCATCTCTACAATAAATCAAAAATCAGCCGGGCGTGGTAGCGCACGCCTGTAGTTTCTGCTACTTGGAAGGCTGAGGCGGAAGGATCGCCGGAGCCCAGCAGGTCGAGGCTGCAGTGGCCGGGAGCGGCCACTGCACTCCAATCTGGGTGACAGAGTGAGACTCCAACTCAAAAAAAAAAAAAAATAGTGGGCTTCTCTGGTCCATATGCCTCTGATTTAATATGAAAACTTCTGGGACCATCAGAGCTCCTTTGATGACTAAGCCTTCCCTCCTGCTGATCCCACAAGAGAATTTAAGACTACTTATCAGCTTTCTGGCCACTTAGGGTTCTGATTTATTTCTCCTTTTGTGAGTGAAAAAAAAATCTTCATTTTCTAACATCCTACCCCTTGGGACTAAAATGCACATTGAGGAAAGCCCCAAACTTCCTTCCTCTCAATGGTCACTTTCACCCTTTTGTCCTTCCACCGTTCAAATTCAGCCTACCTTCCTCATTTACAAGTACTGCTGAGATTGGCTTACTACATGTAACGCATCACCCACATTTTGAGTTTTTAGCCCATTACTGCTTTTTCTTTTTTTCAGGAGATGATTCTTCAACGGGACAGTAAGATTTCTTCTTAGCTGAATCAGATGTGAGGCATCCTGTTTCTGAGTTTTAGCCAAATTCTGTTTTGTTAGCTGCATCCCTGCTGCCATGTTTCTTTGCAGGTTCAATACTTTCTCAGATTTACGTTAACCTTGTTTTCTCTCCTTTTCTCTGCCTTTGCCACGCTTCTTCTAGACTTATAGTCAATACAGATACATTATTGTAAGGATACGTGTATTTTTTATGTCAATTATGTATAATTAATTTATCTAATGCTTTCAGTTAACTTTAGAGTTGGTCTAGGGTATACATACTTTCAACCATTGTGTTTGATGAAGGCCAAAAGAACATTCTTTTTTCTTCTCCATTTTTGACAAAGGGTTTCTGTCTGAGCTGTAGCTCCCTGCCTTGTGATGTTTCTGTATTTGCTTGTGCCTCTGATCTCTCTTACTTATAATAAGGTTTCTGGTTGGGTTTGTCAGCCTCTGATTCAAGTCCTCAGTCTTTGGATATTCAGGTCTAATGCTTCCTGAAACATTTTACAGTAATTGGAGATGTGGCTTGGGGTTCTTTGACAAGATCTCTTTGATTTATGGAATGAGATGTCAGGCTACCATTAGTCATTTCTTTAGCTTATCCCCATCATATTCCCTCTTTTCATGGTAGTGAATGTTCCAATGAGTTACTGTGAGGGAGAAAAAAAGTCTTTTTTTTTTTTAATGTACCTCTTTTTTAGCCAATAAAATAGACTCCAGCCAGTTGGCTTGA